TTCAGGATTCACCATTTTTTTAATGACATGCGGGTAAGTGAAAGACAGAAAAAAAAAAAAATCCCACCAGACCTCAACCTGAGGGATATTCCAGCCAGCCAGGCCGGTGGGACAGAAAGCCCATGAGTCACCGAAGGCAGGCTCGCCCACTTACTGTTACATGTGAAACACACCTCCGAAGCCTGTTGTGGTACACGGGGCTGCTTTTAGGGGCAGGAAGTCTGCAATGAAACCCCCCCAGCATGGTGTTAAAGGGGACTCAAATTACAAGCACATTTCCATGTCCCCACCCCTCATCACTTTTTGACTCTCAGCGACCATGACACAACCACAGCAAAATGACAGGCAGCCCAATGACTGTGACCCTCTGTCCTCAGGCAGCCGACACCATCACCCCTCCTCTGGAGCCAGCTGCTTCATTTTCCGTCTGAGCAATCCAAAGTCACATGAAAAGCTCCCTTCCAGAAACCTCTTCTTCCCTGTTGGTCTTAACGTAAAATCAAGATCTGTAAGCAGCACAAGATGACAGGTTGTGACCTCGGAAATGAGGCAGTCATTCTCTCTTCACAAACACACAGGAAATGACTCAGGATGCCTGAGATGGAAAGACTCTTGACACATTGACTGCCACACTAGAAAAAAAATTTTTCCCTGGGCCATGAAGCTTTATATGAAATAGAATAAAACTTTGAAAACAGAACAATCCTTTTTAATTTAATGAAAAATTTCTTGCATTTAATTGTTTTCTGTGCATCAGTTATATGCAACTCATGTGGCACTAGAATCAGTATTTTTTTTTTTTTTTGAGACAGAGTCTCACTCTGTTGCCCAGGCTAGAGTGCCATGGCATCAGCCCAGCTCACAGCAACCTCGAACTCCTGGGCTCAAGCGATCCTCCTGCCTCAGCCTCCCGAGTAGCTGGGACTACAGGATGTGCCACCACGCCTGGCTATTTTTTCTATATATTTTAGTTGGCAATTAATTTTTTCTATTATAGTAGAGACGGGGTCTCACTCTTGCTCAGGCCGGTTTCATACTGCTGACCTTGAGCAATCTGCCCGCCTCGGCCTCCCAGAGTGCTAGGATTACAGGCGTGAGCCAACGTACCCGGCCTAGAATCAGTTTTTACACTGCATGCCACTTCAGTTGTATGTGACTCATGACACACTTATTGAATTTGTTTAGGAGAATTGAGTTTTCATATGCTTCCTGAGGACCCATGCTCAAAACTAGTGTGAGTTAAATACAACTCACATGGCAGTTAATGTCTTAAAAGTTTATTTATTTCATCTCTTTGACTTTGGGTATGATTTCACTAAACTTTTTCCTTCATAATGAGATAATTTGATATCTACATTTAATATTCCTAGCTGCCAAATAATTGGAAAACTCTCTAAAACAGCAAATTTCATTCTTATTTATAAAGAAGAGCCTCTAAAAATTTTTGATATGCTTTAAAAACATCATTAAATACTAACATGTTAAATATAAAATAATCAAATACATTATTTCAAACTAAATCGACTATTAATACTAGATTCTCATAAAATAAGAAGATATTAATTGTTCTGAGAGAAAAAAACTTAGAGATAATTCTGTTAAATAATGCTTTTGTTTTATTTTTGCTTGTTTTGTTTGGTGAACTTGGAGCAGATGGACATTCTGAGATTTCTGCAGCAGAATGGCTTGATCTAGCTTGATAGTCCTCAACCTGGAATGATCTTGCCTTCCAGGGAACATGTGACAATGTCTGGAGATAGTTTGAAAGGGGCACAGTGCTTCTGGCATCTAGTGGGTAAACATCCTACAGTGCACAAGAAATCTCCCACAACAAAGAATTATTGATTCAAATGTTAACAGAGCAGAGGTTGAGAGCTCCTAAATTCTGGTTCATTTAATACCAGTGTCCCAGGATATACAACCATTGTTCCAGATGAGGAACACCTTCTGCCAGCCCTTTAAGATTTAACTATCTCAGGCCTGTTTATGTTATAAATCTTAACAGTAAAAATCAAAGCCAACAAAAACACTAATTTCAGAAGCCTCCAATTTGCTAAGGGAACCTTGACCCCAGATGGAATTCCCAGGCCCATACACTGTTAAGAGACCACTTGCTATTGGGTGGAACTTTCTGGAACTTTCTGGGCTTGCTTTTTTGCCATTGGCTAAACATCTGGAAGAACTAAGTCATAATCTGTGAGAAATTTCAAATAATAACAAGACTTTTAATACCAAAAATAAAAAGCACCTATCTGGTACATTTATCAATGCCTTTATTTTCCATTCTACCCATACACTGTGACTGGTTGACTTCAAGTGAATCATATTTCAAAGATGTAAATCACCCTGGGGCATTTTTCATTTAAAAAAAAAATGGTCTAAAATCTTCCTGCAACCAGAACCCTTTGCCAGCATAGCATTCTTAATTTCCTACGAGCACAAATAAACAATTTGTTAATTTTACAAGCCTCACTATCAACATATTTACTTCCTAAACTGACTTTGAGGGAATCAACTGGGAAAACTAGAATTTGGAAGGCAGTGCAATCGAAGGCATGAATCTTTTTCCTTTAAAGTGCGAAAGTCAAAAGCTATTCCTGTGGCGATCGATCTGTACTCATCTGATACATTTCCTCATGGCATTCTCTATCCCTCTTGTGCAGCTTTAAACATTCCAAATACCAGCTCCTTCATCACTCAGCCATCAGCTGTCCATCAGAGTCCTAACGTGACCCTGCAAGATGAGGCGTCTACAAGTGCCTGCGTTACAGCAACTCCGTGAGCACCAAGGAAGTCAAAGTGATGGTGCTAGGTAGGTAGCCCAGGAAGTAAATCCGGGATGGGTGCAATAAGTTATGAACACGACGTGACATTTTTAAATCTAACATATTAGTTTAAAAATGTTGCCTCCAACAAGGGTTCCTGGGCACCTCTGCCTTCTTTCTTTTCTCCTTTCTTCTCTTCTTTCTCTTTCTTCTCTTCTTTCTTCTTTCTCCTTTCTTCCTTTCCTTCCTTTCTTCCTTCTTCTTCTTTCTTCTTTCTTCTTTTCTCTTTCTTCTTTCTTTCTTTTCTGAGACAGAGTCTCGCTTTGTTGCCCAGGCTAGAGCGAGTGCCATGGCGTCAGCCTAGCTCACAGCAACCTCAAACTCCTGGGCTCAAGCGATCCTCCTGCCTCAGCCTCCCGAGTAGCTGGGACTATTGGCATGCGCCACCATGCCCAGCTCATTTTTACTATATATATTAGTTGGCCAATTAATTTCTTTCTGTTTTTAGTAGAGACGGGGTCTTGCTCTTGCTCAGGTTGGTTTTGAACCCCTGACCTCGAGCAATCCGCAAGCCTCGGCCTCCCAAAGTGCTAGGATTACAATCGTGAGCCACCGCACCCAGCCTCTGCCATCTTTCATTGAAAGGAAACAGAAGAGAACAATTTGAGAAGCAAGCCCTAGATTGAACTGTGAACTTGTGAAATTTGGCTTTGGCATCACCTAACTTTTCTCTCTGGGAAACTAAATGGAAAGAGAATTGATATTTGATGAGCTGTGACTATGTGCCAGGCGCCAGGGAATCAAAGATGAGTTAGGCACACTCTGCCCGTAAGGAGTTTGCACACTCATTTAGGAAGCAAAACATGTATGTAAATGCAGGAGTGCCTCATGACAGCATATCCTAAGATAGGATGAATTACAGATGTAGCTGCACTGCCCGATTTGCTCACATCCTCTGCCAAAACAATTCCTCTCTTCTGCCAGGGGTGGGGAGTAGGGGGTGGGGGTTGGGGATAGGGGGTGGCAGTGGGAGGCGCCAATAGGAAGTGACAGCCTCCTAATCACCTGGGACTCAGTTCTGTAGATAGTCAGTTCTTCCAGTATATGTCTTAATAGCTTTGCTTTTTTGTTTTTTGTAGCAGAACAGATCGATTAAAAACATTGCTTTTTATTGGTCTCTAAGTAACATCAACCCACATATCACACAAATGAGTTTCTTAAACTTCTTTTGTTGAATCATTGTCGCTCAGTGCCTGCCACAAAGTAAAGGCACAGTGGGAAAGTAGCTGAGAAGGAATGGCCGTCTGGAGGTTTTGAGAACCAAGTGACTCAGCTCGGGAAGGGTTGTCTTCCCCCAGCCTTATGGGCCACCTCCAACACCATCCTGGCTCTAGCTGGCCATGTAGCAGCTTGAGCCAGGTAGAGGTACCTGTGCGTACCTCTACCATTGCACTCAGCACATGATCTTTTAATTAACAGTGTAGGGGCTAAGTCTACCCCGACATTATTAGCTCCCTGAAGGACCGTGTCTCTTTCGTCTTTGTATTGCCAGCATGTAACACTGTCTAGTGCATCCTTGGAGCTAATAAGTGCCTTCACGATGTCTTGATGGCAGATGAGTGAGTTAGATAAATGTGAAAGAGTGTAGTTCTAGACCAAAGTGGAAGGAGAATGGAAAAGGAAAAACTAAGCCTAGCTAAAAGGTATTTCCAAGACAGAAGTACAAAAAAAAAGGGCCAAGGGGTCCTTCAGAAGAGAAATACCTTTGATGGTAGGAGGGGACAGAAGTAATTTACCTTGAGGTGAGTCATAGGCTCACTCATCAAAGTTTAGAGCTGAAAGTTTAGAACTGAAAGAGCCCACTCACGGACAAGAACACTGGTACGCCAAGAAGTTGAGGGACTTATCCAAGCAGTGATAACTAGTTAGTGACAGAGGTGGGACTAGAATTCAGGCCTTTATTCCTCACCGAGTGCTCTACCAACCAAATACAGTCTGCTTGAGAATTTTCGGGACTAATCATACACTGAGTAACATTCTGACTTCAGCCAAAGTACCTTTGCACGCATATAAAAGCCCTTTAAAAACATGTCCGTATTCTGGAAAAGATCAAGTAAAGATATGCCCATTAATTAGACTATACCCTACAATAATCCCTACAGATTATTAGGCTCTGTGCTTTGCTGAGATATGTAGACCAATTAATTAAGCCCAGAAAAATCCATTTTCTTCTAGCAACTCCTTTCAAGCCAACCCTGGAAGCTTCAGTTGTCAAAAAGCAAAACGAAGAAGAACATGTTGTACTTAAATGCTCCAGTGTGAGAAGCAAGCCCCCTCCGCAGATAACCTGGCTACTCGGGAATGGCATGGAGATCTTCGGTAAGTGGAGAGGGAAATGGTTCTCTTTTCTTCTTTGTTTTCCTTCCTACTTAAATTTCCAAGGGATTTTTTAAAATGTTTTAGCACCCTCTGGTGGCAGGAGGTACCAGATGACACCAATGATTCATCAGATCTTTTCTGGACAAATTATCCCTATACCCAATCAATATTATGCCTTAATCTTAAAAGGCTAATCACAGATAATAAAAATATTTTGTTCAAAACAAGCAGAAACCTAAAGTGGAATATTTACAATAGCTTTTTAAAATTTTACAAAATTTCCTAAAATAAGAGGAGTTATTACAGCTATTACCTCTGAGCATGAACTTTTTCACAAGCATAAAATTGAAAATACATTCAAAATGTTATAATACATGTAATTGGAACAGATATGATCTTCCCTATGTAGTATAATACCGTACTGTGTCACACCCACAAGAACAAATTAAAACATTCTGATAACGAAGAATCTAAACTTGGAGCCTTTGAAACAAGACAACTAATTAACTGTGATCTTTGGGAACTATTTATAATTTGCTTACATTTCAACAGATGTTAACTTCAATGTCTATATAATCACCATTCTTAGAGCTGCAAGGGACCCTTTACAGTTAAGAAAACTGAAAGCTCAGTGGAGTTCTAGAGAGAAAAGATGATTCCCAGTCCAGTGCCAATTCTACTTCATTATAAGACTTCTTATTTACTTCACCTGCTTTTACAACCTAAGTAAGCTCTTGGGTCTTTGTGTTCCACAATAACATCAGGATGTTCATCTTGTATAAGCTTTGATATTTTTTCCCCCCAATAGTGAAGAGTTTGTAGAAACTTATCCACTCTTGCTCACCTACTTGGCTTTGGGACCAGAGCCAAGCATATACAAGGCAGCTGGCTGAGATTAGAATGAGGTTAGAAATCTGTTTGCCATGAAGTCAAGGCCATTGGTCTCTAATAGAACTGAGCCTGTTGAATAACCGCATACATCTCTTTAAATCACTACACAGGTGAAACCCACCATGAATTTGAAACTGATGGGAAGAAGTGCAATACTACCAGCACACTCACAGTCCACACGTACAGCAAAAATTCAACAGTGAATTGCATTATCCGACACAAAGGCCTACCAGGGAGAAAACTGGTAGAACCCTTCCAGTTTGAAGATTTCGGTAAGAGCAAATGATTGTCTTTAATCACTTTTAATTTACTCTAATATTGCACTATCAAACAAAATTAAATGGAGTGGGCAAAGTTCTTCAGAGTGAGATTACTGTCAATAAAGCTCTTCTTAATAGCAAATGTGTATAATGATTGACATTTCTCTAGCTGTGTGACAGGGTTTCAACTATTCTAATGTTCAGAAGAACCTTAATTGTGCAGAAAGCCTAGCAGATTGCCATATGCAAATAGTGTCATGCTTGCTTTTTATAACAACAGCTAACATAATTTGACTTTAAATAGTTTTATTGCAGTTGTGGGTTTTGGAGCAATCATATGAGTCATACTGCCTCTTTGTACTTGACCCCAAGTGAGACAATGTTAACTAAAATAAATTTAAACTTGTCAATATCATTTCATGTTAATATAAAACAGGCAGACAGTTACATTAAGACATGATTACTCTTTAGGTTCATTTTATTATGACTGTTTTGAAGATTTTAGCTTAACCATGTTAAATGTTCTTAGTAGAACACCATTTAAAGCACCAAATATTAAATGTGAAGAGAAGTGGCCTCTATTCTCAGAATCTCTGTTCTATGATTCCTTCCTTTAAAGTCCAAGAAATAATTTTAAACTCTTCGAGCCAAGAGGCATCCTCTAAGAAGTCACATGAATCACAAGTCTGTAATTAGCAGGACTCTGAGTTTCACTGTTTTGCAAGGTATTTCTCAGTGTAAAAAGAGATTCCTGAAGTACAAGGAATCACTCACATAAGCGAAAGAGAAAACTGTTGGACGATGATGCATTTGTTGAAAAAACTCTTTTGTCAAATGGAATAAGTAGCCGATGGTGCAAGGCAAGCTTGCTTAGGAGAGCGGTGCTGTGGGAAAGCTGCCGTGCTGCCCTTTGGGGGCTGTGGCTGCGGTTGACAAGTCCCCTCTGACGACCACGTGCTTTCCACGGGTCACTTTCTCACCAAACCAAAAGCAGTTATTGCGGAAGCTGCCTTCGAAGACTCACGGCAGTGCAGCTGCCCTGTCTGGGCTGGGGAACACACCACAAAGGAACCCACCTCTTTGTGGTTCGTTCCCCATTCCTCGCCTCCACCTCCATGGGCGGAATCGGAGCGTTTGGGGGTGAGGCTGTCTGCCTAAATGCTTCCCAGAGACACTCAGAGTCTTGAACAAGAGAACGACAATGTTGAAAAAAGTACGTTTTCACTTTTCAGCAAATTGTTCAAGCCATCTACAAAAGTCACTACGGAGGGGGAAATGGTAGCTTCTCCTCCTTTGTGGCTATAACTCTCCCTGACTCACAATCGTAGCTATAAATGTTTCTAATAATAGGTTAAGGCTTGACTTTTTTTGGTGATCTAACTTTTGACTATCTAGCACCCACTGCCAGATCTCCAGCCAGGGTCCAAAGAGGCAGGCAACAGTATCAGCTGTTGGTGGCTTCTGTTTGTTCATTACCTTTTTCCTTTGGCGAGCTACTGCACTGACATACAGATGTTACAAACCTTTTGTTCATCCAACTAATTTAAAAAATTTACTAGCTGAGGATGCACATTTACAAGTGAGGGCCCTGACTCCTTCCATCTGTACACTGTCTGCACAGTAGGACCCAGGCAAAATGAGGATCCTGCCAGCCGCATGTCTGGGGGGGTCCTGTGGGAAGAAGGGCCTTCCTTCAAAAAATACACAGTTCGATGCTTGGAGAAAAAGAATAGAGCAATAGAAATAGATTAGACTATCTTTGGAATTACTTATTTCATCTTTTTAGTATTCCAAATATGGAAACTTATTTCTCTAGTACTTATTTGGGGATGGGATTTTTTAAAAAATGAACAGCAGTTTTTAAACTTTTTGATTTTGGGACTCGTCTACACTCTTAAAAATGATTGAAAACCTTAAAGAACTCTTATGTGAATTATGTCTGTCAATATTTACTTATTAAAAATTAAAACTGAGATTTAAAAATACATATTTATTAATTTATTTTTAAAATAATAAATCTACTACATGTTAAAAGAAATGCAATATTTTTATGAAAAAAATTCTATATTTTGTGACACTGAAAAGATTAGTGAGCAAAATGGCATGGTTTTACATTTTGAAAATCTCTTGAATGTCTGGCTTAATAGAAAACCATTAGGTTCTTATAACTTTTGCATTCAATATCTTGCAAAATGTTGTTTTGCCTGGAAAGAATTCAACCTCACACAAATATAGAGTTAGAAAAGGGAAAAGTATTTTAATAATCTTTTCAGATAATTGTGGATATTCTTCTTTGATGTTACACCAGAACTCAACAAGAGTTAGTTTCGTAAAGCTTTGCTGCTATAGACCCTGGAACCATATCAATGAACTTTTCATACTCTGTGACATTAACACCCATTGAATTATCTTGCACTTAGAATGGAACTTCTATGAAGGCATGATTTTTGTAACATCATGCCTTGGTCATTTGGAAAATACTGAATCACTGAGTTCTATCGATCTTTCAAATGTTGACATATTTCAGAATCAAAATCACATGTATTAATATAATCATTGATCTCATTAGAGGTATTTAAGTATTTGGAAGCTGACAAACTCACAATGGTAGATACAAGTTATTCAAAATTCTAACTTGAAATGTGGCTAGTGCAACTGAGGTACTAAATTTTTAATATTATGTAGTTTTAATTAATTTAAATTTAAATAGTCATTGTAGCTAATGGATATCATATTGGATAATAGAGATCTACAACATTCTGACCAACTAGGAAGATAAATCATTGTGCACTAGTTTCCACCTAATCAAGACAACATTTGATCTAAATGCAACTATTTATCAGTTCATTAATTGAGAGAATAAACCTAAGTACAAATAAAACTATAAACCTACATAGTTTTAAAATATAATATAAATAATATTTTTATAACTTTTATAAATAATCACAATATAAATAAACCTAAGTACAAATAAACTTATAGTTTTAAAATATGTAGATAAAACTTGTTTTGTACATAAACATAATTATCTGGATTCACATACACTATATTAGAAGATTTTAGTTACTATTGATAAATTTTATTGTATGTGTTGCCAACATTTCCCATGTTATGTTCTTATAATTTATTTCTAGTACTTCTATTTGACTAGCTTTCTAGTATTTCCATCTTTTCATTCCCAGTAGCTCTCCTCTTTCTTCAATTTTCTCTGGCATCTTTGTGATCACAAAGCTCATTTTAGCCTTATATAATAATCCATACTACTATTTATCTAGTGTTTCCTAGTAGCTCTTCTTCCTCTTCTCAGAGCTCTTATACACAATTCAGATATCTTTATACTTTTCAAAAAATTTTAGATTATAAAATAGATTAATATTAATATTATATTAATATATTATTATAATATATAATATTATATAGTACATAATATTATAATAATATATTAATATAATAAATAGATTACAGGAGTGAGCCACAGCACCCGGCCCTAAATGTTTGATTAATAAAATGAATTTTGGCTGGGCGTGGTGGCTCACACCTGTAATCCTAGTATTCTGGGCGGCCAAGGTGTGGGGGGTCATTTGAGCTCAAGAGTTTGAGACTAGCCTGAGCAAGAGCGAGACCCTGTCTCTACTAAAAATAGAAAATTAGCTGAACAACTAAAAAATATATAGAAAAAATTAGCCAGGCATGGTGGCTAATGCCTGTAGTCCCAGCTACTTGGGAGGCTGAGGCAGTAGGATCACTTGAGCCCAGGAGTTTGAGGTTGCTGTGAGGTAGGCTGATGCCTCGGCACTCTAGCCCAGGCAACAGAGTGAGACTCTGTCTCAAAAAAAAAAAAAGAAAGAAATGAATTTCAAAAGTGCAGAAAATTCTTCGATTAAATAAACACTGAGAAGTACCCACATATTTCATAAAGACAATACCCACTTGCTATGTCAGTATCAATGTTTGTAAATTGACAGGTACAGTTGTCACATACTCCCTGGATGTGGGCCTGTTCTTTGACTGATGAAACCTATACTAAGTTGAACCTCTGTAAACATTCCTCAGCTTTTCAAAAAATATTATATAATAACTTTGAGCATTGTGCTTAATAAAATAGCCAGGCATTGTATTAAACATGTTATATGAATGAATTTATTAATTCTCACAGAACACTCCAAGAGGTAAATGCTTTTGGTATCTCCATTTTGCTGATAAGAAAAAGAAACCTGAACATCAGAGAGATTAGGCATCTTGTCCAACTCACCCAGGAGCAAACAAATAGCAACACTGGAATTTGACCCAGACTGAGGCTGATTCCAAAGCCATCTAACTAATGAATAGAAGATAGATAATGGATGGGTAGATAGAGAGGATGGATAGACGGATGATGATGGATGGATACACACAGAGACGTGAATACCTCTGCTACTGCTGCATGCTGTCCTTTAAGCCAGGCAGGTTAGCAGATGGCAATCAGCAGGATACAGATTAAACCCAGAGCAAAAGCTGCAGAACACACAGTTCTGGGTTTCTGCACAACCTCTACAAGCAGATAGCAGCCAAATACATCTCCAATCTCCTTTACGGAACACAATGTGGTAAATTGCTCTCCGTAGTTGCAGAATTTGTTTTTCTCCTTTCCTAGTTACTGAGAAGAGACAGTTTCAGATGCTCTGGAGAGAAGCTCTCTATCCTCTCAAGACTCTCAGCAGCCCACTAGTACTGGTAAGTGCCGAAACCATTAAGCCTTTATTAAAAAAAACCATACCTCCTTGGGAAGGTCACTTTTCTAATTATAAGTTTAAGAATATTTATTTTCACTTTGAATAAGACCATACAGCCCCTTCAGCTGGCTCCAGCTTGCGGTGCCTAGAGTAGAGGCATGTCAGGAGTACTTGCTTAGTGGGATGGGCTCTGGGTAACAGAAAACCTTGCAAGTTCATTGCCATTTTGCTTGAGATATGTATGTACACACACACACATACACACACGATTTGACATTTGAATTTCCACCTAGGTAAAGGACAAGGTTGAATTCATTTACAGGGAGCCTCATTTCTTTGTTTACCTGTCTAAAGCAGACCAACCACAAAACACAGATAACAGCCACCAGCAAAGAAACAGAGGCTGGAGACTTGGTGTTGTCATTGAATAGCAAAATCACCTTTGAAGGCACATCGATTACTTGGTTGTCAAGAATTTGGGTCGTTGTTGACGATGAGATTGAACTATAAATGCAGAAGAAATTAGAGAGCCTGGATTGTAAATCCAGTTTTGAGACAGTGAACCCAATAGATAGCTAATTCAGGGCAATGATCATGTATTTAATTTAACTGTGTATTTTGCCTAGCAGAGTATCTGGCAATAATAGCAGGTGTTCAGAAAATGCAGTATGAAGGAATGAATGAATTTGTTATGGTGCTTCAAGCAAGACAGCCTCATCCAGAAAGGCATAAATTTCTACATGTTCTCTTTCTGCTTCATGTGGTGTCTCTATAATAATTTCATTTGGTAGAATAAGTGCTTTCAGATCATTATCATGTTCATAGTTCTGAGTATTGGATCATATTTTTAAAAATTTGTATCCTGAATAATATTTAAAAGTAAATGTTTGTGGTTTTTAAACACTGATAAATACAACATGTACCATACAGGTTTTTTTTTTTTGAGGGACAATGGAAATTGAAAACATTATGCAGTGGAACAGCCACACCACTTGCTTTAATAATCCAATTATTGTAAACGTGTTTAGAATTTAGTTGTCTTTAAATTGGCTTGCACCACTACTAAACAACTCAATATTATGCTCTGCCTTTTCATATATAAGATTTTTAAAATATGGTTTCTAAAATTCCTTTCAGCTTTCAATCTCTACGATTTTATTACTGCTAATAATGCCCATTTTCAGTAGAATGGGAGACTTCATTCCCCTCACGGTCCACATAGGGGCGCTGTGCAACGGGCTAAAAAACCAGAGACTGCAGAGAGAAAAGAGGGAGGAGATAAACAAAATCTGAAAAAGCAGTCTCTTGTTTTTATAATTTATCTTTTCTAGTGAAAATGTCATAGTACATCCCACTTTTAAAAGGGAGACAGGCAGAGGTTCGCATGACAACTGAGGCTATATTTCTACATAAAAATCAGTGCTTTGTGCATTTTAAGCTGTAAGTTTTTTATAAACAAAGATTGGAATATCATTCTTCAGTGTTCAGTTGTTATCTTGAAACTTCCTAGAGACCTTCTCCTTAATAGGCCTGACTCAGGAAGAAAGTATGAAACAATGGTTTAAATTTGGGGTTCTAGAGTTAGAAAAAAACAAGGTTAAATATTGGTTCTACCACTTATTTGCTGCAGAACTTTAGGTAATTTACTTAGCCACTCTAAACCTCTGTTTTCTCAGAGGTACGGTGAGAAATAATACATACCAAATGCTCAGTTCAAGGGCTGGAATAGAGTAAGTGTCCAACAAATGTTTACCTTAAAAAAACATAAGCCAAAGTGAACTTGGCCCCTTGCAACTCTCTTTGTGAGAAATCAGTAGTCCAAAAATGATCTTGTTATTGCCTCTTAATAAGGATTATTTGATTTTGTCGCCAAATATGCTTTGGGAAGAATATATATACAGTTATATATAGTCACATACATATGGTATATGAGTTTATCATGTCTTACTTTCTTTCACCTTAGTCTCAGTAATGGAAGATTCTAGTACATTAGAGATGGACAAAGAAGAGGAAGAACAAACCACTCAAGACCCTGACTTGACCACTGGTAAGTGTCACCAACCATGTTTAGAATAAACACTTGACCTTTTAACCTCTTAATTGATAATCCAGTGACCTTTTTCAGTCCTCCTTGACGTTTCTGCCCTTGACGACATGATGGGTTAGGTTACTCACTCCCTCATCCCTTCTCGATCGAGTTGCCTCCTGGCTTCTTGACATGCTTTGCCTGGTGCTGTTGTTTCTTGCTAGCCACTGCTTCTCTTTATCCATTGGCTAACTCCACTTCCTCCTCTGACTTCTTCAATGTGAATATTCTTCCGATTTTACTTCTCCATCTTTTGTTCTTTCCTTAATTCTTAAAAAGTTTACACATCCCCAAGATTGTTTCTGTTGTCACTAGGCAAAAGATTTCTATACCTGTATTTCCAGAACATTTCTCCTGCGTGTTAGTGGTGCCAGTTTCACTCCATTTTATACATATCTCTAGCCAAATTTTCTGTCATCTCCTCAAACTCAAACAACATCACTAAAGACCAAACAGCACCTTCTTCCACAAAAATCAGCTTGTCCAAAGAATCACACAGGGTCCAAACCTCAGTGTTATCTTTCACTCCTGTGTGTATAAATACATGCACGCACACACACACACATATAAAGTCAATCAGTTTTCAAGGACTTTGGAGTCTTTTCTTTCAGATATTGTGTCCATTATCATTGCCATCTCCAATCTAGGCCTTCATCATCTCCTGCATGAAGTGTTGTCATTTTAGTTTCTCCTCTTCTGTTTCGTTTTTGGCATCCTACTGTCAAAACACCCCTTTGCACTCTGTATACAGTGTGAGCCCCAGACACCCCAAAAGGAGCAGTCTACTACCTCCCTTGCAATCCTGTATCTATAAAGTGTCTATAAGACACATATTTTTCTTTGAAAATATCATCCTCTTTCAATTCCCTGACCTGTTTATTCTAACTTCCCCAGTGGAAAAAGAGATCTCATCACTCCTCTCCCTAGTCCTACTTCTTAATTTTTATTTTATTTTATTTTAATTTAATTTTGAGACAGAGTCTCACTCTGTTGCCCGGGTTAGAGTGCCTTGGCGTCAGCCTAGTTCACAGCAACCTCAAACTCCTGGGATCAAGCAATCCTGCTGCCTCAGCCTCCCGAGTGGCTGGGACTACAGGCATGCACCACCATGCCCTGCTAATCTTTTCTATATATATATTTTAGTTTGTCAATTAATTTCTTTCTATTTTTAGTAGAGATGGGGTCTCACTCTTGCTCAGGCTGGTTTTGAACTCCTGACCTTGAGCGATCCTCCCGCCTCGGCCTTCCAGAGTGCTAGGATTACAGGCGTGAGCCTCCGCGCCTGGCCAAGGCCAATATCTTCACTAAAAACTTTTCTGACCAACTTGGCCCTCAGAGACCACTCTTGCCTTTGAATCCCTGAACATAATACTGTGATATAAATACATATTGATCTGGAATTTGGCATAAAGATATCATACAGTTGTTTGTTTTTATTAATTTATTTACGTATGTAGAGAACCAGCCTCTAAAGCAGGCGTCCTCAAACATGGCCCGCAGGCCACATGTGGCCCACCGAGGACATTTATCCGGCCTGCCAGGTGTTTTTGCCGCTGCTGCCTGTCCTGCTTAGCAGCCAACTCGTCCCAGGCCCACAGTGCGCATGTGTGGAATGTGCGCCGCACTCTCCAAGGGCCCTCCAATGGTCTGAGGGACAGTGAACTGGCCCACTGTTTAAAAAGTTTGAGGACTCTTGCCCTAAAGCATAGGGATTTGTGTCTTCAGCAGCTCTAAGCGTGCTGTTCTACACATAGCTGGCACTTCTTAATTACTTGTTGATTGAGATAAGGGGAACAGGACTTTTAAACCACAAAACTACAGATCATAGGATCAGAATTCTATGTCAGAAAGACTTTTAAGAACTTATCTACTTTAGCCCCAAATGCCTTCACACAGGGCCACATTAACCAGGATAAATGAATTTTCATTTTATTTAGATAGCTTCCCAAGCTTTTTAACGATCTTTCTTGCTACTTAACTACACTTAGCTAGAAGTTCATTCCTTACAGCTAACTTGAATCCCTCGACTATAACTTAAGTCAATTTTCTCATACGCTTTCTCTAGAAGTGAAAAATAACTAGTGCAATGTCTATGTAACTTTAAAAACTTTTTCAAATCATCCCATGGAGTTGCTTTGTTTGTTTGTGTGCCTGTTTGCTTGTTTTGCTTGTTTTCAGACAATGAACATACGACTTTAACCTTTAACTGCCTTCGAGGGTAAGCTCTTCCTCATCTCTTCATCTGGGCTGTGTGTTAGCCCACACTACACTGTGGACGTATTGTATGTATTCCTCGGTGACTGAAAAAACCCAGAGTATCTAAAGTCCTTTCACTCTTCCTTATAGAAGCCAATCCTCAGTATATGGAATTGACAAGGAAGAAAAGTGGCATCCTGCTGCTTACTCTGGTGTCCTTCCTCATTTTCATACTCTTCATCATAGTCCAGCTGTTCATAATGAAGCTGCGGAAAGCACATGTGACGTGGAAAAAGGGTGAGTGGCCGGAGAACCCGGTGGAGGCTGGAAGATGCCAAAACAATTGGCCGGGAAAATTCTGTCAATTAAAACTTTTTTTGTTAAATGCATGATCTATTTGGTAAGTCATTCAAATAAGCAATTGTTAGTTTTCTAGTAAACGCAGGCTATGAATCTCCAGGGATGTAGTGAGAGGGTGCATAACCAACTGGCACTGGAGTAGCTCTGGGAATTGGTATTAAATTATAGAAGCTTCTGGTCACGAAAGGATACGAAATGGAGAGCTAATTCATCCGTTCATTCAATAAGCATTCACTGAGCATCTTCTGTGTGCCAGGCACTGTTGCAGACACTGGGGACATGACATATCTGTCAACAAGACAGCCCATGTCCCTGTTCCCAGGGAGTTCATATTCTAGTGGTGGCCAGTCAGAGGTTGAACATAATAGACTGTTTTGGTCCCATTCCTGCTTTACAAGAATGCACTCAGCTTCACTCAACCACAATATTGTTTTAAGCATTGTTTTTAAGTCATTGTTTTAAGCATTCTGATTAAAAAGTTATCATTGTAAACAAAAAATATTATTTAGCTAGCATAGAAGATACTTATTAAAATACATAGACTCAACATATATCAGAGCTGGAAGGAACCTAAGAAGTTATCCAGAATGACCATCTACTCAATTCATTCCATAAACATGTGTCGGGATCAAATCCCCTCCTTAATTCTGAGTGATTATCTAGCCCTGTGCTGTCCAGTAAATCAGCCGCAAGATGGCTATTGAGGACCTGACATGTGGCCGGTCCCTACTGGGATGTGCTGTAAAGATAAGATACACATCCCATTTTGAACACTCTACACACACATATACATATACACAAAAGAATATATTGAATAATAATAACTTAGATGTATTAATTAAAACATGTTATTAAATTAATTTCACCTTCTTCTTTTTGCTTTTTGTATGTGGCTACCAGGATATTTTCAATGACACGGGTGGCTTACATTGTAGTGCTATTGGGCAGTGCTGATCTAGCCATATGAGGCTCACATACCTCCGGTGACAGAGGACTCCTTATGTCCTAAGGCAAAACACTACATCTTTGAATAGTTCTGACTCTTTTAAAAGTATCACCTGTGCTAGTTTAAAATCAGTCTCTCTAGGTATTCAGAGGGGTAATATCCTCATTATACACAGACCTAGAGACAAGGTCTGACTTTTCAGCTGCTGCGACACACTAGGCCAATGACATAGCATTGTTTCAAAATCTCTCCACTGATGTGTCATCATCAATTATTCCTTTCTGAAAGACAACACTTGGTTCTAATCTGTGGTCATTTGACTTCCAGGACTCATAGTGCCTAGCATAGGGCTTACAGGAACCATAGCAAAGACGAAAACACTATGTGTTGAAACGAATGAGGACTGAAGTATGGGAAGGGCACAATAAGTCTCCTAGCATACAGTGACAGTATCATCTTATTCAAGCATACATTTCTACATGTCTGTGGCATGACAAATTAGTAACTTAATTTTCTTTTCTTGCAGAAAATGAAATTTCAGAAAACACACTAGAAAGTTACAGATCGAGGTCAAATAATGAAGAAACATCATCCCAAGAGAAAAATGGCCAAAGTAAGTCAGTTGTGTGACCTGAGATTTGAAAACCAAGGTTCATTAATGTATTAGTCAGGGTTCTCCAGAGAGACAGAACCAACAGGATATATGTATATGTAAGTGTATATGTACATGTATGTGTGTGTATACGTGCGCACACACACACACACACACATATGAAAGGGGATTTATTAGGGAAATTGGCTCATGCAATTATGGAGGCTAAATCCCACAACAAGAGGTCTGTCTGCAAACTGGGGACTTGGGATGCCAGTAGCCTGGCTCGGTTCAAGTCTAAAGGCCCCAGAACTGGGAAGCCAATGGGAAGCCCAGGCCAAGGCCTCTGGCCTGAGAACTCAGGGGACAGGGAGAGGGAATTTGGGGGGAGCCATTGATGTAAATCCAGGAATCCTAGAGTTTTGCTGTCCAAGGACAGGAAATGAAGTGTGTACCCCAGCTCCAGTAGATCAATCAACACATTCGCCTTGTCTCTGTTTTTGTTCTCTCTGGTTCTGCAGCCGATTGGGTGGTGCCTGCCCACATTGAGGGTGGATCTCCCCCACCTAGTCCACTCAGGCTCACATGCTGATTTCTGGAATCGCCCTCACAAACACACACCAAAATAATGCTTTACCAGGTTTCCAGGTATCCCTTAATCCAGTTAAGTTGACACTTAAAAGTAACCATCACAGGCTGGGCGCGTTGGCTCACGCCTTTAATACTATCACTCTAGGAGGCTGAGGCGGATGGATCGTTCAAGGTCAGGAGTTCGAAACCAGCCTGAGCAAGAGCGAGACCCCCATCTCTACTAAAAAAATAGAAAGAAATGAATTGGCCAACTAAAATATACAGAAAAAATTAGCCGGGCATGGTGGCACATGCCTATAGTCCCAGCTACTTGGGAGGCTGAGGCATGAGGATCGCTTGAGCCCAGGAGTTTGAGGTTGCTGTGAGCTAGGCTGATGCCACGGCACTCTAGCCCGGGCAACAAAGTGAGACTCTGTCTCAAAAAAAAAAAAAAAATTAGTCATCACAATTAATTAGTTGCCTTTAAAAACGAAGGGGAAAAAATCCAAGCTTGATGTTTAGTACTAGAAAGTCAATCTCATAAATCATCTTGTAGAGCTTAAGGAAGTTCATCTTAAAGAAGAAGCAGTAGCAGTTAAGTTTATGTAGTGAAAAGTATACCCCTTTGGGAAGCCATCCCTGACTCTTTGCCATCACATACAGGGACACCCAGGACCTCATGCCCCTCATGTGCCCCAGAGTAGCCCATGTACACCTTTATCAGTGAAGCACTTCCACACCATATTGTATTTTGCGTTGTTTTGGTTTAGCTACCATGGTACCTCTTCAGTGGTGAGTAATGGGATTCACACTGTGCCTTCCGATCCTGGCACAGGGCCTGGCCCCGATGGAGTGTTCGATCAGTCTGTATTGAATGAATGAATATGGCCTTAACCAATCCAAGCAGAAATGTGTCATGTCTTTTGGATGACTTCATCACAATTCCTCAGGCAAAATATGTAAAGAAAATGAAAAGAATCTAAATGGGAAGGAGATTGTGTGTGGGGGGGTGCATGTGTGTGTACGCCCACGTGCGTGTACTCTTGATGAAGATTCAGAAAGGAGGCTGGAGCTAGGGCTACAGAAGAGCTGGAATCTTATACCTTCCAGCCATTTTATTCCTTCCATGCAAATTAATTTATTGTACCTGCCAGGAGTTGCAGGAAATGCAGTGAGCTGGTAGCTCGATTTTATGTTTGATTGAGGTCTCTGTAACAAGCTTGCCTATGACACTTCTGCCTTTTTTTGGTTTTGAGAGTGTGAAATGGGAAGAAAGAACAGATGTCCCGGCAGGGGGAGGAACACAAGTGAATTGACTGGAAAGCTAGGGGTGGGAGGGGAAATGTGTGTGAACTGCATACGGTCTGGTGTGTTGCAGCTCGTGTTTCTGTGGCATCAGCCATCTCAAACTCACCTGGCAGCTAGAGGATGATGTCACTATAATGTCTATGTCAGGTCACTTCCTATGCCATTTTTCCTAGGCAAGGGGAACCAAAACAGTGGCGGGTAGAATTATGATTTCTGGCAGGAAAAGAAAAGCCCTCAGCTCAGCTACTGAATAAGCAGAAGCCCTTGGAATTCAACTTTAATAACATTCAAAATGAGTACCTAAACTCAGGGGCTGCCTCCCTAGAAAGGTATATCCCCAGAGGTTTGCCAGTGCTCACAGGAGGTTTTACTTTCTCCTGGACTCAGACCTCCACCTTCACCCTCCTTGTCTCAGTACCCTCCAATCCAGCATTTTAACTGTATTTTTTTTGCACATTTAAAAAATATTCTCCGGGGCCTTCTCCAGTCTCTTTGTACGGAGTTGCATAGGCTCTGTCCAGACCCGATCTTTCCTTTAATCCCTGTTATTTTTAGTGTGCAATTTTGTTAAGGCGATATGTTGTTTTCAGCAACACCTATGCTATTTTATAGCAGAAATGTCTGTCTATTTTATTTCAGGTTTATTAGTATATTGTTTAGGTAGCAAGACTTTTTAAAAATTAGAGTATAACAATGCTCTCTCAGATCATTTACATGCATCCGTGAATTTTAGATTTTTAAAGACATTAACATTGGAAATAGCTTCACCAGGGTCATCTGAAACAAAAAAAAAAAGAAGAAGAAAATTTTAAAATTAAAAAAAGAAAAAGAAAAATACATTTAAACATTGGACGTAAAAAGTAAAAATATGAGGTCCAATCAAGGTGTTTCAAGTAAACAGGTGCAATGTTGTTCAACATAAATATTCATCTTCAACACGTTTTTCTTTCAGCTTCCCGCCCTAAGCGTTGCATAAACTACATCACCAAGTTGTACTCAGATGCAAAAACAAAGGGGAAGGAAAATGCGCAACGTTCAGAATTGAAAGGAAAGCAGACTCATATACCAGAGAGCATTGTGTAGTGCTCTCTGCGGTAGAAAATGTGGTTTCAGGGCAGCCCGTGGGGAAGAGCATAATGACTGTGCCATGGAAGATGTCCCCAGTGTGCCACGAGAGACGGGGTCCTCAGATGATAATCTGTGCCAGAGCCAGCGCGACAACATGAGGACCAAACCCCGCACATAAAGCTCGTTGCTAAAAGGAAGAAAGCAAGAAAGAACCTATTATTTCTGACACTACTTCAGAGCAGGAAGATTCTACTAAACCTTGAGGATCAGGGTCAGTGTGACCGGCTAACATCTTACCTCAAAGGGAACAGGAATTTTTTAGATACTTGGCTCTAGTGGAACTGCTTTATTAAAAAAAAAAAAAAAAAAAAAAAATTTTTTTTTTTTTAAATCTTTCCTCTGGTCACCAAATAAAGAATTGTGGGATGAAAGTACCTAAAGATCTCTGATCCCAGGAGGCTACTTTCTTTTTGTTGTTGTTGTGGTTGTTCAATGTCAGCCCCTTATTTGTACATGTTTCAAATGACTCTGAGCATGCATTGAGCACTGTAGCCTGGGGGTATGAGAGAAATAAATGCACACGGAGTAGAGTTAGCCCATAAGACCCCGCTCGCTGACCACTGCTGTCCTGGAGGGGCCAGTGGGTGGAGGTGAGCTGGGGGTCTGCAGCTTCTGAGTCATGTGACCTGGGGCAGCTCCTTCAGCTCCCTGAACTGAGGAGGTTAGTTTCAAGACAGACTAAGAAGATGTAACCAGCACTTACCAGGTCAGGCAGAAGTGGTGCATAATAATGAATGAGTCCGATGGGCAGGAAGGCCCCAGCATTCATGCTCAAGGCATAAGGAGTTAGCTTAAAGTTGGCCCAAAGATTAGAATTTCTCGGATTTTCTTGCTAAGTCATGAGAGCTACCTTTTAGACAGAGTTTTGACCTGGACATTCCATTACAAAAACATGTACAAAAGAAAATGCTGAGTTTAATTCACTGATTATTGGCCTAATAGATGGTTTTTAAACACTCTTTAATAAAGAGCAGAATATATATTTGTTATTCTAGTGGTTGTATTCTAAGTTATACTTCCTGTTTTCACATATGAAAGTAACATATGGCATGTCTTTTTTTAAAAATTTTTTTTGTCATTTTTTAAAGAACGTGTTCTGTAATATTAATTATTTTTAATAGAACAATGGTTCCTCTTCTTTTTTTTTTTTTTTTTTTGAGGCACAGTTTTACTCTGTTGCCTCTGCTAGAGTGCAATGGTGTCATCCTAACTCATTGCAACCTCCAACTCCTGGGTTCCAGCTATCCTCCTAGTTTGGCCTCCTGGAGTGCTGGGATTACAGGCCTGTGCCACCATGCCCAGCCTTTCTATAAGTTTATTTAAGATATATAGCAAATTCTGGCATTTATGTGGTGAATTTCTCATTGTTTGAATCCTAATAAACCAATTCTAAAATAGCAAACACACACACACACACACACACACACACATTATGAGTTTGCAATTTGTTACAGGGGCCAGATCCAGCTGTGCCGATTTTTTTCTCTTGACAAAATTTTTTGAACAATCACAAAATTATAGAAGAGTGTAAAGATAGCACAAAACACTTTTCCTACTGAATTGTTTGAGAGTAAGTTGACATGATGCCCATTGTAGTATGCATTTCTTACAAACAAGGACACTCTCATCTATAACCACAATGCAACCACCAAAATCAGGAAATTAACGTTGTTATCTTTCTACTAATAGTCCTCAGACTCCATTCCAGTTTTTCCAGTTGTACCAATTGTCCCAAAGGATCCAATTCAGATTCACACTTCAATTTAGTCTCATTCGGTTTGGAACAGTTCCTTAATCTTGGCTTTACTTTCATCACCTGGATATTTTTGAAGATTACAGATGAATTATGTTGCAGTGTCCCTCAGTTTGGCTTTGTCTGATGTTTTCTTGTGATTAGACTCAAGTTATGCAACTTTCAGGGCACTATCACAGGATCAACGTTATGTTTATATCATTGCATTTTATTTATCCCGTTATTGATAATGTTCACTTTGAACACTTGATTAAGGTAGTGTCTGCCTCTGAACTTTGTGGGGAGTTGCTTTAAGACTTCAAATATCCTGTTCCTCATCAAACTTTCAAGTTATTGGTTTATTTATTTACAGCTGTATGGTATATATATATATATATATATATATACCTGTATAGTTTTCTCTGTTATTCAATGGGTTCAAATCTGTCACTATCAAATTGATCTATTACTAATTTGATGATCTAATTGTGGAAACTGGCTTCTATGTCCTTTTGACATGTGCTCTCTAAGCTTGGAGCACTTTCTTGCTTTCTCAAACAAGATATTTCAGGCTCATCTTAAACTTTTCCTGTCTCAACCCTGAAATTGGCCATTTTTCCAAGGATCCCTGGTTCCATTTAGTGGAAAATGGTATTTATTATAGAAGCCCAGATCCAGGTGCTAAGTGTACTCATTACTTTCATGGTGTCATCATTCTCAAGTCCTCTCGGTGCTGGGACAGAGCTTAGGTGTTTAATATATGAACATGTTTGTTTATATCGGTTATTTGTATGTTATTTGTCCGTGTACATATTCTAGTTGTAATATAGCTATTGAAAACCATGAGTTTATTTGAGATTGCTCCCTTTCTGTAACTCCGGGCTCTGAGAAACATGACTTTCATCATCCTTAATATATTTACTTCTTTTTTTTTTTTTTTTTTTTTTTTGGAGACAGAGTTCTCAACTTTGTTGCCCAGGGCTAGAGTGAGTGCCGTGGCGTCAGCCTGGTCACAGCCAACCTTCAATCTCCGGGCTACAGCGATCCTACTGCCCTCAGCTTCCCCGGAGTAGCTGGGACTACAGGCATGCGCCACCATGCCCGGCTAACTTTGTTGTTATTATTTTTAGTTGGTCAATTATTTATTTCTATTTTGGGTAGAGACGGGGTCTCACGCTCAGGCTGTTATATGAACATCCTGACCTTGAGCAATACCGCCCGCCTACGGCCTCCCAAAGTGCTAGGATTACAGGCGTGAGCCACCACGCCCGGCCCTATTTACTTCTTTTTTTAACCAATCCTCTGGGTATATAACTGATCTCCCATCTTTGCTACCATTCCATTCTCCTTGAGGATGTCCTTCTCTGCCTGCTCAGGCTCTGACTCCCATGCTGTGCTCCCCTCCCAGCCCCACCATGTGGGTGATCTCCTCGCCAAGCCTGGGCTCTGACACCCCACACCAGGCCGACCCACTGTGCGGCAGCCCTCAGCACACACTTACACACACACACTGCTCCGTGTGACTCTTCTCACCCACACCAAGTGCTGGGCAGCCCTCTGAGGGCCCCTGCCTCCTCCCCAGGCTCTGGCTCTGACACCCCCCTCTGGCCCCCACAGCTTCCCTGCCAACCCCATGGCTGACACCTACTTTGCTATGCCCCACCTAACGACTTTAGGACTCAATTGTTCAGCAAGAGAGGGGAAGTAACGGAGTTAAAAGGGGAATGAGCCAGATGTCCTGCTTTCTAAGAGAGTTTTAACGTGCAAACACATCAACTTTAGGCATGTCATTTATAGTTCCATAGCAGTTCAGAGTCAGAAAACACATTCACCAAGCCTTTAGTATTCTGTAAACATTCACATCAGATATGCTTGTCATGGTTGATTAAACCTTGCTGCTGCATTGGCCTACTTGGAATTTATGTTTGCAAGTTAATCCTCCCAAAGGATGTGGCTGCTTCCATTTCTCCAGTTGCTTTTATGCAAGAGGCTAAACAATTGTGCCAGCATTTCAGTAACATGGAGAGCCGATTGCTAGAATCATCCAAAAGGATTCCATGAAACAGAGATTCCCAGGTTTGCTCTCAAGTATTGGTCTCAGTAGACCTGAGGTGGAGTTTTGGAATCTGTATTTTCTAAAAGCTCCCTGAGCGATTCCAACAGGTTGAGGAATCCTGATATAGCACAAACCAAAAATTTTCAAAGCACATTTGAGTTATAAATATTATCTTTAAGGTGACCATAGTGTCCCAGTGATCATTGTAAAGTGTTAACAGTTTCTTGGAGGCATAAGGACTTATGTGTCATCTAGTCCTACTTGGCATGAAATTGTACCCTAAATACACTGGCCAAACACTTTCTGTGGTCAATGAACATCTAATTTGCACAGTGCCTAGCCCATGGTAGTTTCTCAATTTATATTCAGCAAATGGCAGAGGGAAGACATAAAAAAGAAAAATGATATTTACAGAGGACCAGCAATGAGGCAGACATTTTTTATGGGTATTCCCATTTAACTCATAACAGTTTTGCAAGGTATTAGGTATTATAATGCACATTTGTCACATAAGAGATGCTCTCAACCCTACAAAACAGTTTAGACTGCCAAGATTGTATAATCAGTTGAGGGTAGAACCCAGAGGCTGATCCGGTTCTGTCTGAATCCAATGCTGTGCCTTTTCAACTGCTATATTAAGATGACTCCAAGGAGATATTTAAGATGACATGAGATGTTGGGTGGCTGTCTGATACCTTTCATTTATCCCTCCAGGCTCTCCACCCTTTTCTACCTGATGTGTGCCCCAGGAGACTGATGCCTTGGGCTACATCAGTGGGCTCCTTTGCCCTCTCTCTGGCATCCAGCTGGGGAATGTACAGTTCCAGCAGGGAGCAGGGAACACCTGCTGTCTAAGGTTGCCAGGGACTAACTGCATCCAAGTGGAGGTCACAATTCTGGTGAAGCAGAACCATCTCTCATTCTGGAATCTACTTACTTCCTTCACCTCATCAGGCCTAGAGGGACCCTGCACTATCTTTTGTGGTTCCCCTAAAGCTTTGTATCTAGTTCATTTATAAAATATACTAAATTGCCCAATTTGAGTCTATCATCTGTTTCCTCCAGAGACCTTGACCGATACAATAGTTGTATTTATAGATTTCTTGCATCCCAACAAATCTGAATCTAGCTTTATAGATAATCATAGAATATTATAATTAGGATGGATTTTAGAGTTCATCTCAAGCATTTCCTAAAATGTATTTTGAGGAATGCTGGTGCCCTAGGAATGTTAATAGGTGTTCTGTGAAGAAACAAGAAAGTTTTCTGGAATCAAATAAGTTTGAGGTAATGCATATTAGCATAGCAAAGGCTCTGAAGAGTCATCTCCTAACGGAATCTGTTTAGTTTTATTTAACACAACGCGGCTCAAACTGACTTATCCATTTGCCAACTTCTTCCTCTTTTCTAATGGACCTGTAATTTTGTTCTAGCATCCTCGCCACACTGTGTAGTCATGTGCTTTGGGGGAGGTGGGCATCATCCCGAGGCAAAAAGAGAAATCATGATTGGTTTCAGCCAGTCATGGTGGCCCCATTCCCCTTGCTAGTGGTCAATTTAGGCATGACCACAAGAAACAATGTTGGCCATCCAGACACAAGTGGAAGTTCCTAGTGGGCTTCCAGAAAAAAAAAAATTAAGGATAAAAACAGACACTGAAAACGAAAATATCCTCCTTCCCACAAAATGTTGTCATAAATGCAAATGATGCCCGGAACTGTCATAGCCATTTTATCCTCACCAAGGGATATGGGCTACTATGGTGAGGATGCCATAGCAAAGAGACAGAGCAAACTTGAGTCCTTAATGATTTTGTTAAACTCTGAATATTTCAGAACTTCTTGTTAAGTGAGACCAAAATCCCACACTATTATTTAAGCCAGGTGAATTGGGTTTTCAATTACTTTTAACTCTCAAATTGAACACTTTTAAATTATAAAGCAGTTGTTTTATGGAAAAACTATCGTTCTAAGAAACACAATTTGGGAAACATTGATCTGGGCCAATTCTTTTGTTTTCTTGATGAAGAAACAGAGGCCCAGAGAGGTTTAATCAGCCATTAAAGACCACACAACTAATTAGTAAAATGATTGGAATTAGACCCTTGGTCCCCCGATCCCAAAGAGATGAAGGCAGGATCTTGCTTCTTCCCTTACATTTAATGTAAATCCCTCGAAAGCATTTCACACTCACTTCTTG